ATAAAATACAATAAATATACCCATAAGATTATGTGTCCAAAAAGTGAGAAGAATTCATATTATATAATTCTATGGGAAAAAACTTCCTAATAATCTGTGTGTTACATGGCATGTCACTACAGAATAAAGAATTGAAGTTGTAAAGTCACATTTTTTTTTTAGTTGTCAATGGACCTTTATTTATTTATACACAATGCTAAGAATTGAACCCAGTGCCTCACACATGCTAGGAAAACACTCCATCACTGAGCCATGACCCCAGCCCCACATTTATTTTAATATTTATTTTTTAGTTATAGTTGGACACAATACCTTTATTTTATTTATTTATTTTTATGTGGTGCCGAGGATCAAACCCAGGGCCTCACATGTGCTAGGCGAGTGCTCTACTGCTGAGCTACAACCCCAGTCCAAAAACCACATTTTTTAAGAAGTAAAATGATTAACTCTTTTTTTCTCCCCTGAGGCAATCATGCCCAACAACTTTGATTTTTCCTTCACTACTTGGTGAAGAGCCCAAATATATACTTTGTTGTGGTTTAGTTCCTATAAGGATTAATATTGCTCAGAACTGATGAAAATAATTAATTCCTGCGGTACACTACGTTTTCTGTGATTTTGTTCACTTAAAAATGCCTGCTATCTGGCTGGGAATATATCTCAGTTGGTAGAATGTTTGCCTTGCAAGCACTCACACAAGGCCATGGGTTCAATTCCCAGCACCAAAAAAAGAATGTCTGCTAACTTAGATATTTAAGATGTGCATCCCAAAGTCCAAGTTTTGAAATAAAAATCCCTGAAGTATTTAAGTTCTCTCCATATTCAAAAGCAATAAAAACAATCAGGATGAGGGGAGAAAGAAAAGAAAGAGAAAGAAAGAAAGAAAGAAAGAAAGAAAGAAAGAAAGAAAGAAAGAAAGAAAGAAAGAAATTGTGCCCATCTACGACTAAAAAAAAAAAATATTTTTTTAAAAAGCAGGATGATAATTAACAAAGCTTTTATCCAGAAATAATGTCAGTGTCAGATTACTGTAAACTTTGAAATGGAATGTTACAGAACATGGGGGTAATCTAGGAATAGGGTGAACTGGGAACTCAGCAAAAGAGACGGCAGTCAGGAGGAATGTCTGCCTTTAAATCCTAGCTCTGGCTCCCTAGCTATGTGGCTTTGGGTATGTTACTTTACCTTACTATGCCTCGGTACTCTAATCTGTAACACAGAGAGAATGATAGTATCAACCTTATTTTATTATTCTGAGGATTAAATGACTGTACATATAAAAAGATCAGAAGGGCTAACAGGAACATACTGGATACACAGCATTAAGTATTTTAAACATTTTACCTTTCAGCATGTGACTAGCAAATCCAAGGCTATAATGGGGATCAAGGACTCCTTTCTGATTCTTTCTATAATGTGAGTAAAAAGATAAGATCTCCTGAACATCTGCCCCAAGGTTCACAGCAGCTCTGCACCCATGGGCCTTGGGTGGGGGAGTGACTCAGCTATTGTCCATGGTTCTAGAAAAGGTGTATGCCACAACAGTGGGACTGTTCACAGTTTGCTCCTCAATTTGCTTCCAATATTCTTCCCAGAAATTTCTTTAAATCTCCAGGTCCCCATGGAGACCTCAGGAGAGACTGCCCATTGACTTTAAGTGAAATTTTACCATGACTGCTCCCTTGATAACAAATGGATATTTTTAAAAGCCTGGCCCCAACAGATTTCTGCTGCAGCTCATGGCCACAGCCACATTCTTCCTGGACTGAGAGGGTAAGAGTTCACCCTCTGGGGCCAGGCTGTGTGTTCTGCTCAAAAGAAAGGGGAAAAACACAACATGTGCTGCTACTCTCAGCATCAGAGACCAGGCGAGGGACTTTCCATTCATGTTTGTGACCAGAGGCTAGAATGAGGTGTCTGCCAGGAATGGCAGAGTAAATTAATCAACTCGTGTTCTTTGCTGCCTGCAGAAATTAGTTGTAATGTGCTTTTCACACCAAAAGGTAGAAAAGTAGAGCTTGGAGTTAAGGCTGGGGGCACCACACAAGAGATCTGTTTGAAAAAGGACTCCATCGTCTACAGGAGGAATAGAATCTAGTCAAAGCAAAGAATTCAAAGAGCGAGAATTCCCCAGTACTTTGCCAGCATTATTCAGAGTTCAGTGAAGCAAGACACTTGATGTTCCAGATTCCCAGCTCCTGGGGTGACAGAAATTGTTCCTTTCTTAAATACTTGAGGGATATTTGCTGAGCAGCTCCTATAATGCATCAGATACTGTGCTAGGCGGCAGCATGAGAGTGGAGAATAAGGTAGAAAGGCACCCAGTCTAGAGAAGGGAGATGGAGAGCAGACTTTTAAACAATATGCAAGATCACTGAAGTTAGTGATAACTGCTAGGAAGGGAGGAAGGGCATGGATGTGGACTGGGGCAGTCAGCTCAGGGGATGTCAGCCACAAGAAACAGGAAAAAAGGCTGGCCAGGATAAACAGAATGTGAGATCTGTTTACTGAATGAGCTCCTCCTGCCCAGGAACAGGAATCTAATGGGGGAGGCAGGACAGGGAGTGGGGAATGGCCAGGAATGGAGAGCGTAGTCACAGAGGCAGCCTCCTCACAGAGATCACTGAGAGAAAGTCACTGTGAGTGAAGATGACATGTGACTGTGAAGACCAGCCTGGATAGTGAGGCCTGATACTACCTAACATCCATAGCAGGAAATACAGAATTGAATACGTAATGCTTATCTGCAGGCTACACAGGCACAGCACATTCCTGGGAAGTTATAAAATAAGCTGAAAAAGAGGTTGCTCCTGGGTAGGGAAATCATAAAATTGGATGGCAAAGAGGGAAGAAAGTTTGCTTTGCACCATTTACTCTTTTATACATTTTTAATTTGTACTATGTATGGGTGACCTCTGTTTTTTAAAGAATTAAAAATTAAACTGAGGGGTTGAGGGTATAGATCAGTGATAGGGTATTTGCCTAATATGGACAAGGCCCTGGGTTCAATGTCCAGGCACCAGAAAAAAATTTTAAAACTGAGAAAAACCACATACAAAAAAAAAAAAAAAGTTTGCCTTTTTGCTACTATTAAGCAACCCCTCTTTGGAAAGACATAATTTTCTTAAAAGCTACATAGTTTTCAATCAGGAACAACCAGTTCTACTAACTTGAGAGCCATTTTATGTTTTCATGTTTGCTTCCCCATTCTGGGGTATATCAGATTCTCAGAGACACTTCATTTCTCTTGTTTTCAATTTACAAATTCTGTCCCCTGCTTTTCTCAAAAGCTCCTCCGTCTAGCACACCTGTAATCCCAGCAGCTCAGGAGGCCAAGGATTACCAAATCAAAACCAGACTCAGCAAAAGTGAGGCACTAAGCAACTCGGTGAGATCATGTCTCTAAATAAAATGCAAAATAGGCCTGGGGATGTGGCTCGGTGCCGAGTGCCAACTGAGTTCAATCACCCGTACCCCAAAAAGCAAACAAAAAATCCTTCTCCTTCCAGACAGTATTTAGCTCTCCTCAACGTCTACTATAAAAGCAAATCTTCCCTCAAAGAAAAATTAGCACAGAAAGATTCAAATAACATTTCCTAAACCTTGTAAAATAAGAACATCAAAGAAAAATCTTCTAAAGGAACTTACCTTTCAGTTAAAACTGACAGAAATCCAAACTATATAAGCTGAAGAAGAAGGAATCCACTGGTTCATAGAGTTGGGCAGCTCAGAAGTTGGGCTAGCTTCAAGCACAGATCGATCCGGGACTCATGCACCATTGCTGTCAGCTCTGCTTGGTAGCTTGCTGCACTTAGGCCCTTCTGCAGTTTTCATGATGCTCACCAGCAGCCCCAAACCTCTGGGCCTCTAGCTTAGCAATCCCAGTAGAGGGAGAAGTCCTCCCTGAACAGCAATACAGGAAATCCAGAGAACATTCTGATGGATGAGTCTTGAGCTTGTCCAGGGTTGGGACTCAAGCCCGGCCTAGCTCAGACTATATTCTAGTACCACACCAAACGGTGCAAAGAACAGTACCCAGGAGTGCTGGGTAAGAAAGAAATAACAGATGTCCTCTGTCACTTCTAACAAGTCAAAATTACAATCATGGATATTTTAAGAGGCTTGAAACTATAAAACTTTGCTCCCTACAATGTGCAGAGGTGATGGGTTTTCAATTTCAAGGCAAGGTGGCTGGGAAGTTCAAATATCCACACAGACATTACCTAATCTGTTATACTCAACATACTTTTGAATACCAGAGTGGAAATATGCTTATAAAATAGGCCAAAACAAAATAAAACATCCCAAAAATGCAATTTGTAAATCAGATTACAATCCTTTGGTCCCCATGAAACTTTTTGCTCAGGATAAAATATTTCTGTGGTTCTACTTGACAAAATTTATCTTCTTCATTTTAGCCATGAACTTTTTAAGTAATTGTGAAATTCAAAAAATATATCTAAGTGTGGGGTCCATATTTAGTTTTCTGGTTTGTTATTTTTTGGAGGGCAAGGATTAAGGACAGAACCCGGGGGCAATATGCCATGAGCCACATCCTAGCCCTTTTTATTTTTCAGAAGCAGGGTCTACTAAGTTGTTTAGGACTTTACTATGTTGCTGAAGCTGGACTTTTGTTTCTGATCCTCCTATCTCGGCCTCCAGAGTCGCTGTGATGATAGGCCTGTGCCACCGTGCCCGGCCACATTTAGCTTTAAATCATAAAATAACCTAAGAAGTTCTATTTGCATTATTTTTACCAAAAGTTCACCTACTCTCTCCCCAAATCTTCCTGGTTGGCTGAACCAAGTGACTTTTCCTTAAACTTACTGATTCTTGAGTAGATGACCAGTTTTACCCTTGAATGCACAACACTCATGTTGAGTAAGTTCCTTAATAAGAAAACTCATCTGAGGACAAGTTTGGAAACCCTTCCATATGAAGTTGTTCATCTTTACAGTAACACAATGAGAACATGAACAAGAGCCAATACTATATGCCAGTGTAATTATAAATACCTTTTATTTGGAATTTTACAATTAAAGCCACATTTCCAAGGCATCTTCAAAAAGGCAGACATGATCAATGTGTTTTAAAGCAATGGTTCTCATCAATGATTAAGACATTCTTAGGTGTTTTGGATCACCAAGAGCAACACAAAATCTTCAAAATAAAACTAGTTTTAAATCTATTTTATTTAAAACAATTTACAAATAGGCCAAATATCACTCAGACTAAGAGAACTTCAACCTTTCTAACAACATCATAGTCCAAAAAGACTAATACTTACTGCTGATTCAGCTCACAGTATTATCCCTTCCCAGGCAGCAGCACCGTCTCTAGAAGTATTTTATGGGCACCTTCTATGGGCATCAGAGATTTCCACAGCCACAGGCATGGCCCTGCCCACAAGAAGCTTAGTGTAGCCAGAGAGACAGGAAACACCCAGATCAGACAAACGGAGCTGGCTCCAGTCCACACCTCTATCTTAACAAGAGCTATCACCCACATAAGTCATCACATGTTTTAGCAAATAAGCCACAGGAATAACCTAGCAATTACGTGCTACATCAAGTTTCAACTTGACATTTTGTTAAAAAAGACTACATTTGGGCTGGGGATGTGGCTCAAGCGGTAGTGCGCTCGCCTGGCATGCGTGCGGCCGGGGTTCGATCCTCAGCACCACATACAAACAAAGATGTTGTGTCCGCCGAAAACTAAAAAAATAAATAAATTTAAAAAAAAAAAAAAAAAAAAAAAGACTACATTTTATTTTATATTTCTGAGTTCCTGGGGATGGGACCCAAAGTCTCACATATGCTAAGCACACATTCTACCACTGAGCTACAGCCCGAACCCAAAAAAGGTTTTATTCAGTTCACAGATATTTGTGCTCACTCATGTTTCCCCTCAATAGAATCAAAAGAAAAATGTAACTCCAAGCCAACTGTACCATAATGTTTGCTGTCCTAAATGAAAGAATGGCTTGTCCATGTCCTAGAATTTCTGCACAGTTCCACATCCTGATGTCAAATTCAGTAGTTACTGCTAAACCGATGTACAAATTCAGACAGCGTGTAGACAGCGCCCCATCCTACTTCAGGATCCATGCTTATGAAATCATTCAAGTTCATTTTGGAGTCTAGAAAAATATATGAAAGAAACGTCTGATGAAAACATAATTTTGGCATAGCAGCAATAAAATCCAGAGACCAAAAAGCAGGAGATATTATTCAAATGGATAAGGGTTCAAGGTCATTTCTGTGGTTCAAGGTCATTTCTGTGTTCAAGGTCATTTATTCGTGCCTGTCACAGATTGGAGGAGACATGACAACTAAATACTAAGTTTCAAACAAATTGGAAGAAAAAATAATTATGACTTCATGAAATAACTATAAATGTGAAAACAGACTACACAGACATATGATAATTTTCCACATATAATAATGGTATTATGGCCATTGTTTTAAAGAAAAGAAACCCTTATATTTTAGAGATACACTAAAATAGCCAGAGTTAAATGGACACACTATCTCACCTCAGAGTAATGCAGGTGGCAGAAAATGGCTGAGATATAAACAAAACCACCAGCCACGAGCTGTTGGTGTTGGAAATCGGATAAACTATTGTGTCTGGTTTTGTATGTGATTTAAATTTTCCACATAAAACGCCTTTTTGGACTAGGGGTATAGCTCAGTGGTAGAGAGTTTTCCTACCATGTGTGGGGCCCTGAGTTTAACCCCTAGCACCCCCACCAAAAAAAAAAACAACAAAACTTTTTAAAGTTCATGCAGCTTCCTGCTTCTGTCCCTCAAAGAACTGTTATAGGAACTGCATTTCTATCACAAACCACCAGAAAACTGGACAAAAGATGCAAAGGGACTGGACAATGGGCAGCGAGTGAACAATGGTAGCACATGACCATGAATTTCAAGGATCAGAAACAAGTAAGGAGAGGCCGGGAAGGGACTCACAAACAGCCTAGAAGGGACACACAAACAGCCTGGCAGTCTCCCTGCGTGAGAAGACAGAGGCTGAAGTTCAGGAAGGCCCCCAGGAGCTAGGGGTGAGAGCATCAGAGTCCTGGGGAGCTGCAGAGGGACCCCCTGTGTCTTTGGACAAGTACTGAGCTTCTCTTTCATACTGGGTGAAACACATGAGGACAAGGAGAGAAGCAGCAGGAAGCAGAAAGTCTGACAATTTCCAGAATTTCCACAGTGACAATTCGCATCCCTCGGTTTCCTTACCATGGGGAAAAAAGGCTCTTTTCTTTAAAACCACTAAATGCAAGTGGGAAATAGTGGTGAACCTCCAGACAGTCAGGTAGCCACTGAAATTTATTAATGCATATGCTTAATCATAGCCTACAACATGTCAAAAATAATAAATTTTCAGTTGTAAGAGTCACTTCTGACTGGAGTTGTGTAGCTCAGTGGTACAGCACTTGCCTATTGCAGGAGGCACTGGGTTCAATTTTCAGCATCCACATAAAAATCAATAAATAAAATAAAGGTCCATCAACAACTAAAAAAAAAATTTTTTTAAAAAGCATCACTTCCAAAATTATGTGCAAAAAGCTGCGTATAACTACTCTTATTAATGCATGTGTTTAGACATGCTTTCATGTAAAATTTGACTTCTGGAATAATTTTTTTAAACCTTCTTTATTTTTCACAAAACACCACTCATTAGCTAAAAGTAAATCACATTTATCCTAACTTCTAATACATCCTTTTAAAAAAAATTTTTTTAGATATTGATGGGCCTTTATTTTATTCATTTATTTATATGTGGTGCTGAGAATCACACCCAGTGTCTCACATATGCTAGGCAAGCACTCTACCACTGAGCAACAACCCCAGCCCTCTAATACACCCTTTTGATAAATACAGCATTTGAGGTAATAAATTCACCACATGACAGAACATTATAATTCGGTTACATAATTACATGAGAAACCAACACATTTACCTCATGCTCCACAGATCTCTTTTGTTGGTTATTTCTTTGTTGTTGTTATTGATTTGGTCCTGGGGCTCCAGAGGTGCTCTATCACTGAGCTACATCCCCAGCCCTTTTTTTTTCTTTTTGGGGTGCTGGGGATTGAACCTAGGCCCTTGTGCATGGGAGGTAAGCACTCTACCAACTGAGTTATATCCCCAGTCCCAAAATTATAAGGTTTTATTTTGTTGTTGTTGTTTGTGGTGCTGGGGTTTGAACCCAGGGCTTTATGCATGCAAGGCAAGCACTCCACCAACTGAGCTATATCCCCAGCCCCCCAGCCCTTTTTTTTTTTTGAGACATGGTCTTCCTGAGATGCTCAGGAACTCACTAAGTTGCTGAGGCTGGCTTTGAACTTGCAATCCTCCTGCCTCAGCCTCCCAAATTGCTGGGATTACAGGTGTGCGCCACCATGCCCAGCTAGATTCCTTTTTTTAATTCAATCTCAAATTCAGAAGGCCCCTGATAAGTTAACTACAAATGAAGCCCAAGACTCCTCTTGAAGAAATCCCTCCTCGGGCTGGGGATGTGGCTCAAGCGGTAGCGCGCTAGCCTGGCATGCGTGCGACCCGGGTTCGAGCCTCAGCACCACATACAAACAAAGATGTTGTGCCCGCCAAAAAACTAAAAAATAAATGTTAAAAAATTCTCTCTCTCTCTCTCTGTCTCTCACTCTCTCTTTGAAAAAAAAAAAAAAAAGAAAAGAAATCCCTCCTCAAGCACTGTGCACTAACCTGTAACCAGCCCTGCTGCTCTCCAGCTGTGTACACTTACACAAAGGGCTGAATCTCATGCACTTCTCTCTATCCATCTAGCCAATGAGGAAATCACACTTGGCTCATTGGGTTTTAGTGAAAATTAAATTGAACTAATATGTTAAGGGGCTGGCCAAAGCCTGGCACAAAATGGCACCTAATGAAGAGGTGTCCTCTAAACCAAAGAATGGCCCAAATAGGACCAGGGCTGACCAGGTGGGTTTTACTAATTGCCTGTCATGTGCTAGCCCCTTAGGTGCCCACATCTAAAAGAAAAATGAATAGTTGCTGAAGGCACAGTATGCCCAGACCAGACCCCATGCAGCAGAGAGTAGTCTGCTAACTTAGGAGCCTGCCAGTTCTAACGCCCAGGCTGGGAAGCAGGTTGGTATACCAATAAGCAATTCCACATTTTTTTTTTTTTTTTTGTACCAGGGATTGAATCCAGGGGCGTTTAACCACTGAGCCACATCCCCAGCCCTTGTTATTTTTTATTTTGAGACAGGGTCTCACTAAGTTGCTGAGGCTGGCTTTGAATTTGTGATCCTCCTGACTCAGTCTCCTGAGCCACTGGGATCACAGGCGTGCACCCAGCACTTTTTCCTTTATTTTTAATTATAAGAGCTTTTCACAGCCTCAAAAGCCAGAGTCTGAACCTTCTTTAAGTGTGCTCTGCCTTCAAACATGACAAATAATTTTTTAAAAATATTTTTATTAGTTATTGATGGACCTTTATTTATTTATATGTGGTGCTGAGAATCGAACCCAGTGCCACACATACTAGGCAAGCAAGCGCTCTACCACTGAGCCACAACCCCAGCCCCCAAATAATTTTTTTCCTTTCTTCCTTGATGAACTATTTATATGACTGTCCTGTCTTCCCAGCATCCTGCACAGCTTTCGAGCACTTTCATGCAGACTGTATTAGCCATGTGCTGGGATGATCTCACCAACAAGCAAGAATGTTGTGAATGACTTCCAGTCATAAACAGTGTTTCAAATGCATATGAATGCCAGACAATAACAATAAGGAGAGCAACCCTCCATCTTCTTAAATCTCAGGAAATTATCAACTGGACTGCTGCCTAGAAGCCCATAAATGAAACAAGTGGCACACTACACCCTGCTGGCTCTCACCTCCCTCCAGTGCAGGGTTCATCACAAAGTCACTGAAATGACATTTCACACATGCTGAGGATGCACTGGGGATTTCTTTCACCATAACATGAAACGCTACCATGGCAAATGCTACTCATCCCACTGTTAAGTGACACGAGCATGCAGACCTTTGGCACCCAGCATCCCACAGTAGGAACATCCACTAATCTGGCAGAGTGCACGTGCATGGCTCTGCTCCTTAACAGCTTTCCTCTCCCAGGAGTTCTTATGCCTTCCAGACCTGTCCTCTGTGCCTCGACTTCCCAACCTAAGAAACACACAGAACTAGCACTTCCTCTTCCTTCCTCACCACTCAAACCCCTGGGAAAGGCACCCTTGGCTCACCTCCAGTTTCAATACAGGGGTAGGGTGGAGGAGGCTCTCTCCAGTTCCCACTGGAGTCTTTCATGTGAGATCGGTCGGAAGCAAAGTTCTTCAGGTAGGAATCTGCACGGATCACTCTAAATTTCCTGCAAATCAATCAACAGAACTTATGTTAGGGAGATGTCACATTGGGAATTCTAACTCAGCTTTTATATAGACTCATTTTCTATGACATGCACAAAACTACTCATGCATTTTTATCCTGTTAATAATATAAAGCTTTATTACCTATTAAAATACTCTATGGGAAATGACTGAAGTCTAAAGATATGAAGGTACAGAAATATACCTACCTAGTTGCCTTTATTTACTCAATTGTGATTCAGGCAAAGGGCATGATCTTCTGGAGTTGGCCTCACAGTTCTCTTAATTTTGGCAGCATGAGAATCCCCACCCCTACCCATCAAAGGAGAGTATGAGAGAACCTCCCAGGGTGCCCCCCAAAACATGTTTGAGATCTCATCACAAATTTTTAAGACTGCCAACCTTTAATATGATGTATAACCTTCAAACTCTAACATATTGTTTTTAACTCTCCTGTGTAGCAAGCACATCATTCTCAAGTATCAACTCAGTACTGAGGCCAAGCAAGGTAAGAGATCTTTACAAAACAAATACAAAAGAAGGGAAGAAAAAAGAAAGAACCTCTGTGCAATTGCCAAGGCCTTACGTCAGACACTAATAATTCATCCTGAATGTCCTCACCTCCTAAACTGTGGATGAATGTCATCGTCAGACTTAAAGGCCTCTTCTACGTAAGTGTCAAAGGGGCAGGGAAATGGCAAGACAGTATCAAGATCATAAATGAAGCTCTGTCCTCCACTTGACACATGAAGCAAAACAACATGGTAATCCTAGAAGTAAAAATTGCTGATGTTAACCAAGTTACTCTAGGATGACAAATTGCAAGGTCCCATGAGCAATGCACATATATTATCACAAAAACAGATACAAGACGAATACAGCCCTCCTTAAAAACAGCAAAATTTTTAAAAAGCAAACAAAAAGCCCTGAAAATAGACTAAATGTCCACTGACAGGGAAATGGCTAAGAAATAAAGGAAATGTTCATATATGTTAAATGCATATCCTTCGACTCAATAATACTACCTCTAGTAAACTGTCTTACAGGGAAATGGTCATAATCGGGCAAAGGTGTATGTACCAAGAAAATCTCTGCAGCATTGTTAATAACAATGAAACTTCTGAAACAGCCCCAAGTCCTTCGATAAAACAATGGTTAATAAACTATGATACAGCCACATATTAGCATACTATGCAACTACTGAAACAAATAGGCAAATATATATGGAAAACTGAAAAATATCCATTATTTATTATTACCTACTATTATTAAAGCTATATGTATATTAGGACACACATGTGCACTTCGAAGTATATACACATGCATGTGAAGTAGAGAGAAAACTCTACAAGGATACCCTCTGCTACAGTCTGGATATTAAATGCCCCCCAAAATCCCATATGTTAAAGGCTTAGACCCCAGAATAGCACTATGAGGAGGTGATGGAACCTTTAGAGGCAAGACCTAGTGGGAAATCTTCTGGGCACTGGAGATATGCCTTTCATGAAGACCATGGGACCCCAGCCCTTCTTTTTCTTTCTCCCCTCACCAATGAGGTAAGCAGCTTTGCCCCACCATGCACTCCCGCCTTGACGTGCTGCCTCACCACAGCCCAGCATCTGATCATGAACCAAAACCTCTAAAACTGAGAGACACAATAAACCTTTGCTCTTTATAAGTTGATTTATCTTAGGTGTTTGTTAAAGTGACAGAAAGCTGACTAACACCCTCCAAATTTTTAACAAAGGGGACTTCTTGAGTTTAGTGTGGAAAGAGTCTAAAGGACTTATATATCCAGTTTTGTACTACTTTTCTAATTAAAACAAAGAAAAAAAGTACTTTTTTAAAAAGTCAGCCATGCCCTCATCTGTAGCCATGAAGGGAGAAGGATAAAAGTTGTGCCACCCAATTTTGTTACAGAGCAGATATTACTTCCTACTCTCACTCCCAGACACAAGGCACTATTAACACCAGCTAATAAGGGCCAAAAGGGTTTCAGGATTATCAGGGGAATATGAGTAGACTGGTGCATTGGCCTCTCAGGAAAAAAAATGCTCTCCACAGACAACAGCACACCAAAATAAATCTCAATATAACAACATTAGTAATAACATCTTTTATTCCTGCAGTACTTTAGAGTTCACAAGGCACTTATTCCATCTGAGCCCTGCAAAGTCCCTGTGAGGTGGGAAAGTTAATTGAGATTGGAAACATACCATCAGCATGAAAGCTTCCCTTGGCTCCAACTCCATCCCTAGTAGAGCAGAAATAACATCAGAAATGGATGCTTCCTCCCTGCACTCCTTTTATCCTTCAAGATAAATGGACTAAAAGCTGCAGCCCCTTCTGGCCCACCACTTCCTTTCGCTGGGCTTGCTCGTGTTACACATTCCCCCACCGCAGCAGCAACCTTCTCCACCTCTCTCCACCAAACAACCTCTGGCTCAAAGGCTTTCTCTCTCAGGAATGTGCTTTTCGTCTTTCCTAACCCCTGCCAGAAGTAATCTCTGCCTTACCCAAAATCTATTTCTGTTAACATCTTCAATTCCTATCATTAGTTTTCACAAGGGTGAAAAAAATAAGTCTTACCCTCAGGGGTCAGTAGAGAAATGTAGGGTCAGAAGAGAATGGATGCAGTACCACGTGATGAAGCGAAAGAACAGGAGCACACACAGCTTGAACGGGAAAGAGCCTGCCCAAAGCTCAGCCCCTCCATTTCCCAGCCTCAGCTTCCTCTTATAAACTGGAGATAACTGGAGTGTCTACCTCGTAGAGTTAATGGGACAGGGAGTATGTCAATGCTCATCCTTTTCAAAAGCCAATCAAGAAACAGAGGGGACTGGGGTCCACCTGCCCAGGACAGCATCACTCAAATCCTGCTTGAGAGCTTTCCAGAAAGAAGATAGTCTGTGGAAAACCAAGAGCAATGACCAACCACACCCCAGTCAGTCAGGCCCATATTCCTACTCAGCACGTGGCTGCTGGGCTTTGGGGGAAGAGGTCTCGCAGTATACATGTGGAGTCATGAAACAAACAGGCGGTTCAGTGTTTTCCCAGCTGCCAGGAAATAACCCACTGGGCTGGAAGCAGGATACCCCTCTGGGAGGGGATCTGCTCCTGGAGGCGGGATTGCCCTACCTGCTCAGCAAGGCCAACCCATTTCCTATAAGAGGACAGCACTGAGGCAAAGATAAATCTGCCAGGCTGTGGGGAGACTTCCTGCAGCAGGACTGTGCACCCTGAGCTACCATGAGATGTGGTGGAAGGGATGTGTCCACAGGTCCTTTCCCAGGAAGCCTCCGCAGATGGGGAGCAGCTAAGCAGTTCAGCAGCAGGGTTAAACTCCTAGAGAAGGTGGACAGCCTGCAATAGGAGTTATGTAGCATTGCCAACAATAGCCACCAAACACCAACTTAAAAAAAATTTTTTTTTCATATTGAAGATTGCATCCAGGGTGCTTCATCACCAAGCTACATCTCCAGCCCTTTTTATTTTTTTATTTTGAGATAGGATCTCATTAAGTTACTGAGACTGGTCTCAAGTTTGTGATCCTCCTGCCTCAGCCTCCTAAGTTACTGGGATTACAGGCATGTGCCACCATACCCAGCCTACCTCTTCTTAGGTGTCCTCTACGTTACCTCATTTAAGCATTACAACCTCACTAACACCGAAGAGACAGGCTATATAACTAGTCCAAGTCCCACAGACTGGGACTTAAACCCCTGCTCCTAACCACAACAGTGCTAGGTTTGGGCTTTGATGTTGGTATAAAAGATCAAGATAGAGATAGAAATTCTGTGAGTCCCCAAGTTTTAGTCTGCTTTGTGACTGCTATATAAAAGGCACCAATTAACCTACGTGAAATAAATGGAGACAATTCAAACGATACATCATAATCTTGAGTAGGTATCTAGAAATTAGGAGTTTGTTACGTTATTATTTATAAAATTCTTCTTTAACTTTTTCTCCATCATTACTAATAAACAATTCCATTCTTCAGGAAGACAGGTTAAAATGACACACAGAGGTGTACAGGAAAGAACCCAGGTCTAAGACCCAGTTCTGCCACTGACCTTGAGCTACTCACTCGCTATACCTTTCTGTGGTTGTTTTATCATCTGAAAAATGAAGGCATTGGAGTGGATATCTCTGTGTGGGTGCATGCACATGTGCTTTGTCTTTTGTTTTAGATCCATGTCTTTCAAATGGAGATCATGTTCAGCCAGGAGTGTATTAAGAACACTATTTATGAACCTCTTTCTAGATGAACCAACCCAGGAATCTATAATTTTAACTAGTCTCCAGATAGCTCTAATATGCAGCTGGACTGCATACTGATAAAAGTTCCTTTCAGGGGCTGAGGTTGTAGCTCAGTGGTAGAGCACTTGCCTGGCACATGTGAGGTCCTGGGTTCAATCCTCAGCACCACATAAAAAATAAATAAACAAAATAAAGGTGTTGTGTCCATCTAGAATTTTTTAAAAATTTTTTTCTAAAGTTCCTTTCAGTGCTAAAAGGATAAGTCCAGAAGATCACAAATATGTCTCCTACACTGGCCATTTAAAAATCATTCCTAGATCTCTCTTCCTGGAAACAGCCTGAGACAATCTGTGAAAATGGTTTGCTACTCTCTTAACTCAGAAAATCCCACAAAAATCATGCAAATCAAGAGGTTCAAATCTTGGTGTTCACTTTATACACATCTGTGAAACTGCCCAGGCCATCACAGGTGTGTGTATCTGAAAAGACATACATATCTGAAAGATGTCCCTTTAAAGAAGCAAGGTATACGATTCTAGCATGATGAAACAGGTAGTTATGCTAAGGCCCAACTGGGTCTGGACACAAGGTCAGGGGCCCAAAAAGAGTGCTGATTTTTGTGCACATGCTTAAAAATGCAGAGAATTATGCTGAACTTAAGGGTTTAGATGTGGATTCTCTGGTCATTGAACATATCCGGGTAAATAAAGTACCCACGATGTTTATACAGCTCCTGGCCAGATGAACCAGCATGTATGCTTCCTCTGCCACCTGAGGTAATCATTATTAGAAAGAAGAAATTGTTCCTAAACCAGAAGAAGAGTCTGCACCAAAGAAAAAGAAATCCCTGAAGAAACAAAATTTATTACACCAGAATAAATTTAGTATAAAATAAATGTAAATAAAAGCATAAAAAATAAAATCATTCCTATAATAATTCCAAAATAAAAATTAAAATATGCCTGTAGTACTTCTACCTTAGACCAAATAACATCTATTCTCAAAAGGGTGAGAATAAATACCATTTATATATAATAAATATATAAATTTAAAAATACCACTTATATATATATATATATATATTTATATATATATATATATATATATAAATGGTATTTTTAAATTTATATATTTATTATATATATATATACACACACACACACACACACCATTTAATAAATATATAAGTAAATACCATTTATAGCTGGGTGAGGTGGCACATGCCTGTAATCCCAGCAGCTCGAGAGGCTGAGACAGGAGGATCACAAGTTCAAAGGCAGCCTCAGCAAAAGCGAGGTGCTAAGCAACTCAGTGAGACCATGTCTCTAAATAAAATACAAAATAAGGCTGAGGATGTGACTTAGTGGTCAAGTGCCCCTGAGTTCAATCCCCAGTACCCCCCCCCTCAAAAAAAGTCTATTTATTAGTAATTGCCATAGCCTTTCTCTCCTGTCCCTCTCAATTCTGCTTTCCCAAAGTGTACAGACCACTCAGGGGTCACAAGAAACACTGAAGGCTCTCCGAATGGACATCTTACCCAGATCACGGGTCCATTTCCAGGTCTCGCCTGCTGTTTCCAGATAGGTATCTATAAAATATAGTATATCCCATAGTTTCAGTTAAACCACTACTAGATCATTTAAAGCAGTATATAAATAAGAAAAAAAATATTTCTGAGCAACCAAAAATCAAGGTAAAAGAATAAGTTAATGAATAAGAATAAATTCAACTCCTTCTTAGTATCCTCAATAATGAAAGCTCACAAGAGCTCAAGTTATTGTAAAGTCTTCTTTGGAGTGAAAAAGTATCTGGACTAGGACTCAGAACACCTGGCAGAACATGATCACAGTGGCACAGGCCTGTAATCCCAGCACCTCATGAGGCTGAGGCTTAGCAATTTTGCAAGGCCCTAAGCAACTTAGCAAGATCTCATCTCAAAATTTTAAAACAAAGGGCTGGGGATGCAGCTCAGTGGTTAAACAGCCAAGTTCAACCTCTGGTACCAAAAAGAAAAATAAAAAAGAACACTTGGCAGGTTCAGATTCAAGTCTTGATTTCCCATTGTATTATTCACAGGACGACACTGAGTCTTTATTTACTCTCCTCTAAAATGGAGAAAGCTGTCCAAACTTTGCTTCCATTGGCATCTAATGAAATGATGCCTACAAGAGTACGTTATAAAAAGAAGGGTTCACTTTTCTAATACTTTCTATAGGTTCGTTATGATTCTATTCAAAACTCCAGAGAAAAATCTTTTCTTCAAACCTAAGAATTATGTGGTTTCCATATAAGCACTTAAAGCTCTAAATTAATACCTAAAGGGATTTAATCTGTGTGAGTATGCCATAATATACTTACTCCCTCACCTACTATTTAAGTAAGGAACAAAACTTTTCTAACTCAACTGTGTCCTTTAAGAGAAAAAAAAAATCTCATTCAAAAACACTTTAAAATGTTCCTGTATTTTATAAAGCACATCTTAGAATAGTACTGACTGAACCCATGCTGCATTCAACTTCTACGCTCATCCTAAATCTCATTTCCTTTCTTCAATCACTAACCAACTTACCATCTTCCTCTCATTTGATATGAAGACAGCATAACACTCTTCCAAAGGATACTGGTTGTGGTTTTTGATGTATTCACAGAGTTTCCAAATATTTTCCTCACTGAAATAAAACAACTGGTTAATCAATATAATTAAAAGCGAACTCTCTTTGTTATTCAAATTTTAATTAAAGACTGATAATGGCATAAAAAAATTGGAAGAGACTTTAAACACTTTCTAATCCAACAACTAACTAACATTTAAATCTCCTTCTGTACAGGCACAGTGGCACACACCTCTAATCCCAATGACTTAGGAGACTGAGGCAGGAGGTTGGTAAATTCAAAGCCAGCCTCAGCAACTTAGTGAGACCCTAGGTCACTTCGCAAGACTCTATCTCAAAATAAAAAATAAAAATAAATAAGAACTAGGGATGTGGCTCAGTGGTTAAGCATCCTTGAATTCAATCTCTGGTATGTATGAACACATGTATAAATACATAAATAAATAAATGTCCTCTAAAACATCACCAACAAGCTGCTGTCCAACCTGCGCTGAGGTGGCACCTCTGCAGACACAGGGCTCATTACCCCATAGCACTACTTGCCTATGGAGAAAGTTTACAACCAATAAAATGCTATGTCACAATTCTATAACTGTCTGGTTGAGAGACTTGCAATGCAGCTAGAATTCCAACTGAGCCAATTACAAGGTAAGAAGCATTGACCCTCTTGATCTGAGAATCTCCTTTGCTCATCTGTAAAATGCACATAATCATATCATATTGTAAATACTCAATAAATCTTAGTTAACACTGGTTCCCTGCTTGCCTTAAATAAAGGACAGGTTGGGTGTTTTGGGGAACAAGGCTCCTGACTGGCAAGGATCGGGAACAGTTCCATGATAGGTCCAGGAGAGAGTCCCTGTGAGTGGGATTCCCTGAGCCCCTCTGGTAAGGAGGAGGTCTTGACTTTTAGAAAGCCCTTACTCATACTGAACTAAAACCCACCTTCCTACACATCTACCCTGGATCAATCTCTCTTCTCTATGACAAGCCTTGAGTGATCCAAAACAGTAACCAGAACAACCTAAATAAATTGGTGCCTAGTGCATCAAATAAGCAACTGAACCACACTCCAGAGTAACTAAGCACACACAGGCAGTAACTAAGCCACACTCCCAAGCATGGGCAAATATGGCCGCCATTCAGCCTCTGAGCTCAGCCTCTTAACTAATAAACCACATAGTACCTTTGCTCAAAATGAGATACACCCATAATTATGTATAACGCACTAATTAAGAAAACTAGGGAAAAAATGAGCTATACCAACGCTCTGCTCAGAGCACATGACTCAATCTGTCAAGGATGAATTTCCAGTCATCTATACGACACTACATGAAAACAAGCAAGACACAAACAACACTCTCTCCATTTCATGCAAATACACACCCTTTCAATTCACACATGTAGGCCTTGTCTACCTGTCTCAATGCTCCACACAATTTAAAACACCAAAATCTGACATCTGTATTTTTCTCCTGTGGTTTTGTTTTTCTCTAAAATAACAAGGAAATCTTGAGGAGAAAGTGATATTGGTGGTGACAACAAAAGGAAGCTTGCAATGACTCCTTCAACATGATCTATATAATAGATAACAAAAATTCACTGACAGTTTCCATACGACAAATGGCATGCAGTAGCTCAAACTTTTCAAATCCAAGTTTTGAGAAGACATTTATCTGTCTGGCCTACAGAAATTTTTGAAGAGTTTTACCAAAACATCTTCAAGAGCCTGTGAGGTACAAAACACTAAATTAAGTGCTTGAAGGATATGATGATAAATTAAAGCTTACATATGCTGAGAGGAGATATAAAGATCAATAAATAGCAAGCAGCACAGAAAGACAAAATGATGCATACCAAAAGCCCAGAGGAGGGAGTCATTATTTGGAGAGATATGGGAAGATGCAAGAGATACAGGACAGCAGTTTCTCCTTGTCTGTTCCCCTATCCCTCATCTTACAGTTGGGAACAGAATTCATGAATGGACAAGTACTACTTGTAGACTGAATTTTTTTTTTTTTTTGAACCAGGGATTGAACCCTGAGGTGCTTAACCACTGAGCCACCCCCACTTTTTTTAAATTTAAAGACAGGGTCTTGCTGAGTTGCTAAGAGCCTCACTAAGTTGCTGAGACTGACTGTGAATTCACAATCCTCCTGCCTCAGCCTCCTGAGCCACTGGGTCCAGGAGAGAGGTCCAGGAGAGAGTCCCTGTGAGTGGGATTCCCTGAGCCACTCAGGGAATGCACCATAGCGCCCAGCCAGTACTATTAATTTTTAATACAGTGTGAATACTACAGAGAGAAAAAATTTGAACATAGAGTTTCTGAATTTTATTCATTCCCTTTTTATCATCAAGATCATAATATGCAGAAAAATCTCATGAAATTTTTGATGCTAAAAAAAAAAAGGTGCTTATATTTGAAAATGCAGGGAACCACAGTTAGAATAGAACAAACAAAAAGGGTGATGATACGGTCCCCAAGCTGTCAAGTGATCATTCTAATAGACAAAAGCCTAATAAAGCAGCATAAGGACTGAGACTGCAGGGGTTACCCATAATGGGCTGAGGCCAGAGAAGCAAGCTGAGTGGACATTCCTGACACACAACAGGTACTACACAAATGTTTGGGAAAAAACTAAACAATTAAAACAGAATCAGAAATACCCTAGGGGCTCAGGGTGTAGCTCAGTGGCATGCTGGGCAAGCACAAGGCAGTAGGTTGATCCCTACACTGGGGGGGGGGGAATAAATATTGCTGTGCAAACCATATAGTCCCATACAAACAATGGCCACCACTCTTACCATTAAATGGGGTTGCGAAATACAAGTAACATCTGACAGAAACTAACAGAAGAAAAAGTGTTTATTTCAAATTAGAAGAACCTAATAGAGCAGAAGCAAAGTGCACCGATTGATGTGCTCAGACAGGATAGAGCACTGTTTCCCAAGCACAGGTGACCATGTCCCCAAGAGGACATTTAGCAATGTCTGGAGACATGTTTGGTTGTCACAACTGAGAGGAGGTTGCTAACAGCATCTAGTGGGTAGAGGCCAGGGATGCTGCTACACATTCTATTCAAAAAAAAAAAAAAGACCATCTTCTCAGGAGACATTTATCTCTTGCCATTCTCCAACCAGATCACTCTCCCAGAATTGTATCAGTCTCCCTCCTGTTTCTCGAATACTGACTGCATGCTTCCTTCTCAGGGCCTTTGCACCTGCTCTTCTCCCTGCCTGAAATGATCTTCCCCCATTAGCCACAAAGCACTTGCCCTCTTTTCCACAGATCTCTGTTCAATATCACCTTATCAACAATATCTTCCTTAAGTATCCTAACATAAAAATAATATTAGTTGCCAGGCAGGGTGGCACAGACCTGTAATTCCAGCATCTTGGGATGCTGAGGCAGAAGATCTCGAGTCCAAAGCCAGCCTCAGCAAAAGCAAGGTGCTAAGCAATTCAGTGAGACCCTGTCTCTAAATAAAATGTAAAATAGGGTTGGGGGTGTGGCTCAGTGGTGGAGTGTCCCTGAATTTAATCTTTCGTTACTCCCCCCAAAATGGTATTAGTCATCACCTTTTGCTTTTTCCTATTTTTCTCATAGCATTACCACTACCCAAACATGAATCACTTGTCCTTGTCTGCTTTCCCCCATCAAAATGTAAGAACCAGGAGATGTTACCAAGGAAATTATCAATTTTGTTCACTGCTACCTCCCCAGTGCCTAGAATCACACATCACATATTCCAAGTGCCTAATAAACATTTATTGAATGAATGAATGAAACAATGAATGTCTGCTAGGAGTGAGAATAGGATTTAGGAGACAGAGCAGAAATACACTGCAGCAATTGAGAATCAGGAACTCCAGCATCACACAGAGGTTCCAGGCTCAGTACCATCACTTAGTAGAGGGGTGATCTTGGATAAACAGTCTTTCTGTGGCTCAGAAAGCAAAATGAGGATAATATAATCATAAAATCAATCTCCTAGGCATGGATAGAAACAGTTGGCATTGGGCCTAACATGGTCAGAACTGAATTAATGTTAAACTCTTGGTGGTATTGGTTCAATGACCAGCTCAAGGAGGAATGGGTAATTTTATGGTCCTGAGGTTTCTTGCACGTTGGGGAAGAAATTATTTTTACTGAGGAAAGGCAAAGAGGAGTTGAGACCAAGGTAGGGGTGATGCTTCAGCTGCTGAGATAGCCTAGGTAAGAGATGTACAGTGCCTTGACTCCAGAGCCAGACTCCCGCCTGCAAATCCCCATTTTTCACTCAGAAGCTGTGAGAATCAGGCAAATTATTCGCACCCCTCTGTGCTTCACTGTTCTTTGAAATGTAGATCACAACAGTACTAACTCTCTTGGGTTACAAAGGGGCTCAAACGAGTTAGTCCACATATCCACCAGTAACAATGCTCAGCATTTGCCAAGCGCGTTGCAAATATAATCATTATTATAATGACTGCAATTCCTAGCTGTTAGCTGGGTGACCTTGGAAAAATATTTCAAACTCTCTGTGCCCCCATTCTCTTCCAAATTTAAAATGACCTGCACCTCAGTCTGACACCACACAGGCTTCTGTAGATAACTTCCAAAGCGGCGCTCCACCCTCACTCCCCTTCCGCGCCCCCAACCACTGAGATCTGCTGAGCTTGTCCATCCAAAAAGCGCCAGACAGAGGTAATGCACCATCGAACGCACCACTCCCATCCCATCCCACTGCCCACGCTCTGCTCCAGAGGCAGGGCTCGCGTTCCCTCTCCCTCCACCCGGCAAAACAATAGAACCTTCCAATCTAGGCCCCGCGCGCCCAAAGGGGCTGGAAGGAATCGGTGGTCCACGGCGGCGCGCTGGGCCAGACCCCGGGTGCAGCGCCTGCACCCGCCTCACCAGTAGCAGCTGCTGTAGACACAGGCGTCCCGCGGGGGGCTGGCTGGCTGGTAGAGGGTGGCGGCGGCGACGTCCCCCTCCATAGCCCCGGCCTGGGGCTCAAAGACAGGACCCACCAAGGAATCCGCCAGTGCGCAGCAGCTGGCGCCAGAACTCGAGCAGAGTGAGAGGAGCCTGGGGCCGCCCCAGGCAGTTTCCGGCCGGTGGAACCTGCGGCCAGTGGGCGGGGCCTGGGCGGAACCAGTGGCTCAGAGTCCCAGCGCGCGAAGCCCGGGACAGAGCAGGCGGACCTCTCAGTGTAGGGAGCTGGGAAAAGGGAGGTGCTACCAAGGGGGTAGGACTAAGTGGGCGGGACCGGGGTGGGGCGTGCAGCGAGATTTCCCAGTGGGCGGATCTTGGGATGAAAAGGCCTGCGTGGTTCTGGATGGGCTGGGCCCTGGTGAGTGGACTCAGGCGGGGAGGGGCCGAAGCGCGAGCTCTGGTGGGCGGAGCCGGGAACTTTGCGCGTTCCGGGTAGGTGGAGACTGACCGAGTGGGTGGAGCCTAGACGGGGCCAGAAGACCGCGCGCGTTCCCAGGGGCAGGGCCTGAGACCGGCTGACTGAGCGACAGAGGCTGTAACCGCGAGGACCAGTCAGGTGGGGAGTAGAGCTGTCGCGGGCCGCTGAAGCGCCGGCCTCAGCAACACTTGGGTGAGAGTTCCTGGAGACACCTCCATCCCGGGCTGAGGTTGCCACCTGTGGAAGTGCCGGATTAGACGTTGAAATAAGACGCTTTGCGTGTGTTTAAATCAAAGTGTTGGCACTCAGCGTGGAGTCCGCAGGATCCCGGAAGAGGAGGGAAGGAGAGCTTAATTCCAAATATGACCTCATTGAGGGATCGCACCCCAAATTTCACCATATTGTAAATTTTTTAAATTCGGAGATCATTATATGTTGGCTCAGGAAGACATATTGATTTCTTGATAATTGATTTGCTGGCAATATAAAAGAAAGACGCCAAATATTAGAACAGTGCTTAGCGGGCGCCCTGAGGAACGGCCTGTAATCCCAGCAGCTCCCGAGGCTGAGGCAGAAGACTCGCAAATTCCAGGCCAGCCTCAGCAACTTAACCAGGCCCTGGGCAACTTAGCAAGACCCTGTCTCAAAATAGAAAATAAGAAGAACTGGGCTGGGGTCGTAGCTCAGTGGTTAAGCTAACCTGGGTTCAATTCCTGGTACAAAAAAAAAAAAAAAAAAAGTAGAAAACCTTTGTGCATCTCTGGTGAATAAAGTATGTCGAGGACTTTGACTAGTCTGAATTTGCAATGGACATATGTAACTGATCAGAGAACTTCATATTATAAAAAGTGAAATTCTTAGGTTGGTTATAGGCTACCCACGTCAGATTCTCCGACTTTTAAGAGTTCCAAAGCTCATAAATCAAAGTCATAAAGACTTTGAACATAAATCCTTAATGTCCATTATCAATTTATTGCCTCAGTTCTTTATACTCACTTATTCTGTTATTCTAAATAACAGAATTTCATTAGATCTTCCTCCTTTAAAGTAAGGATAAGGTTCAGTGTTCTCAGCAGAGTGTGGGAGGGAATACTGCAGGGGGAAGAAGCTCTCTGCTGTTTGGGGGAAGGACAGAGACCAGAGTTTTGGGTGTGATCATGAGTACCTCAAGTGGAGTCGGTTCCAGCCACAGGCTCATAATGTAGTCCCTCTGTGGCTTTAACAGCTTCACCTCATGATGCTGTAGTGCAGATTAAATCCAGTAATCTACTGGGTTGGGGGGCAGCATAGTGCCTGGCACAACATAAGTAAAAAAGTCAGACATAGTTAAAGCAGTAAAATAGGTTTTATTCCGTGAGTACTGAACTTAGGGAATAGAACTGAACTCCATTCTGATTTGTGCAGATGTGATTTACATCTAAATCAAAAATTAAAAGGGAGAGGGAATGTGGGAGTTCAGTAAAAAGAAGTGAAAATTACCCAGGGTGTAAATACAGGAGGCCAGCTGTGTCTACTGGCTGGCAGTTATCTAAGTCCGGTTCTCTCCTCCCACAGAGACTGAGATGGAGGCCCTAGCCTTCCTGATGATTACATTTCAAAGAAATGGCTCTCAGATCTTAAAAGATACCTTTGAATTGCTAAAAAGACAAATTGACACTTCTAAACTCTTTAATGCTCTAAGAAAAAGGAGGTCAGGGGCCTATCATTAGGTGTTGGTGAGAACAAACAGTAAATTTCCCTGGCAGGGTTTGGCTTTCTCTTGAAAGTGTTTTAATGGGAGGTGGGGAGGAGCTGAGGTCATCCTACGGACACAGCCTATGCTGCTAAAAACCTTAGTAATGTGTGCTCAAGTCTCTTAGAACAGAGATTTGGGCGGAGTAGTCCTGTCCGGAGAATTCTCAGCAATCTATGTAATAAAACTGCATAGCTTTGCAGTTATGATCATTAACATTTTATATCTTTGAACAGTATGCCAGCATTATGACTGGCATAAATGGTTCTTGAATTAATTATATTTTGTTAGTTAAGATACATATGGTTTTTCCGTAACTAAGAAACCCCAAATTGTAGCAACTTAAATTTGAGATACAAATGTTTTTCTCATAGAACACTCTGAGCACTGATACCTTATCTCTTTAGTCCACTACCCAGGCTCCTGGTATTTTATGCTAAGGGCATGGAGCCTTGCCCTGGTCAGCATGGTTGAGGATGGATCACCACCCCATCTGCTGCAATTGCATTCTGGCTAACAAAACCAGGAAGAAAGGATAAGTGAAAGATTTAAGGACAAAATCACTTCTGCTCACAGTTCACTGGTGAAAAGATACTCATAAAGTCACACCCAGGTGCAAAGGAGATTAGGAAACATGGGTTTTTTTTCTGGGCAATCCAGCTAACCTGTGAGTTTCTCAAAGAAGAAAGAGGGCATGGATTTTGAGAGAGAGCCAGCAGTCTCTGCCATATTGTACTTACTTTCTTTCCTTTTCTTTTTTTTTTCTTCTAAACTTTCTCATAAGCAGGAGTTATTTTTTTTTAATTGGAAACAAAAAACAAATCATAGAAGTCAGTCACAGGCACATACTTGTAATCACAATGGCTCAGGAGACTGAGGCAGGAGGATGACGAGTTCAAAGCCAGCCTCAGCAACTTAGCAACGCACTTAGCAACTCAGCAAGACCCTATATCTAAATAAAATATTTAAAAAGGCTGGGATGTGGCTTAGTGGTTAATTACCTCTGGGTTCAATCCTCAGTACCAAAAAAAAAAATAGATCATAGAAAAATACATGTGATCCTATAGTAGAGACTATAAAAAGGGAAGGAAGACCAGGGATGGGAGGAAAAGAAGGAAAGGGGAGGTACTGGAGAACAAAAACAACCAAATTATATTGTTATACTGTGTGTATGCATGAGTATATAACAATGAATCCCACTATTATGTAAAATTATCACACACTGCTAATTAAAAAAATGAGGATATGGCTTCCAACCAGACTCTGACCACAAACTCCAATAACCCCGATTAGGAAGAAATAAGAGATGCACTCATGGAAGACGACAGCCCATGAAATTAGGATATTAAAGGGCAGGGATTTAGAGGAGGGACATTTGACAAAGGAAAATGTAAGAAAGGCCACAGGCATGGAAAGGAGATTCAGGAAGTCTGCAGCATACAATACTTTAAAAATCAAAAGAGGCTTTTTTTATTGAGAAGGTGTATTTTTAATGCTTAGTATTAAAAGCATGAAGTAAAAGAAAGAGATAATCCCATGGTTTGAGACCATATGGTTTGCTGTGATCAGACAACTGAAAGGAACAGAAATATTCAGTGCCCATTTTGCTTGCATTTTCTCTAACAAGGAAAAATGATCCTCGAGCTATAAAGAATAAGGAAATTAGCACTAAAAGGAAATTAAAGGCCAAGATAGGGACAATGATAGAAAGCACTAAATTATCTTAAGTGGATTGAAAAATCTTCAGACCCAGAGTTATATTCCAGAATACTGAAAAAGCTTTAGGTTACACCCTCCGAAGACTCTCTTACAGCTCTTTAAGAAAATATGATGGAGGAGATAACACAAAATTAAATATGAATGTTTGCTGTCTTGAGTGTCATAAAAGGAAAAAGAGATATTCCGGTCATCCCATTACATTGATGAGCTTGATATCCATTCCCATGGTCATTTGTGACTATTTTGTTTTAAAAGTGAAGGGCATAAATCCTTGTTGAAATAATGATTTTTTAAAGAACTGATTATTAGAAAAGCATTGTGGCTTAGAGTATACCTTGATTCCAACAAAGCACCTGGCTCTGCTACACTAGTCCTGATTCATGTCCAGTTCAAAGTCAAGGCTGTTATTATCTCTTGTAACGAGAACAACACTGAAATGGCTTTCAGACACAAAGGATGAGCTACAGGGTCTCAAGGGATCCTAATCAGGATCACATCTCAGCCCTTCTTTCTCCCCATCTCTCTGCTTCTCAATGCTTGGCTTTATTCTGAGATCAACTTTTCACTTCTGCCCTGTGGCAGCCACTGGCAGCCCAGTATGCATATTTTCCAGGCTCAGCAACCACAGTGGAAAGAGAAAGCTTCTTTTTCATTCTAGCAACCATATGGAATGACTTGTGCCTTCATTTTTTACTTCTGTGCTGCCTGTACTTTTTCTATGTATAACTTTGTAATAAATGTTAAAAGTAAAATGCTTCTAAAGAATCAAGTTTATGGACATTAATATAAATAACTGTGTGTGGGTAGACTATTGTTCACTTAATTTTCCCTACTGTTGGGCATTTAGTTTGTTTTCAGTATAATAGTATACTATTATAAGTAAAGCTGTAATCAACACCTTTGTACATAAATCTAGTCCATACCTATGATTATTACCTTTGGCGTGCTAGAAGTGGGATTCCTGATCCAAAGGTTTAAACATTTTTCAGGACTTCTGATACATGTTGCTTTATTGTTTTCAAGAAATGGGCCCATATCTGGACGTGGTGGCACACACCTATAATCCTAGAGGATCACAAGTTCAAAGCCAGCCTCAGAATTAGCAAGACGTGAGCAACTTACTAAGATCCTGTCTCTAAATAAAATATTAAAAAGGACTGGGGATGTGGCTCAGTGGTTAAGTGCCCTTGGGTTCAATCCCCAGTCACACCCCCCCCCCAAAAAAAGAAAAAGAAATGGGCCCATCCCCCAACACTACATTGAAGATTTTTATTTAAAAACAAAACAAACAGGGCTGGGGT